TGGCTCTTTGTAAATGAACAGATTTTTTCGAGGAGAACTTTTCTTTCCGTGTGTCTTTCTCTCTTTTGCCCTTCATTATATTTCTCCCAAATTACCCAGCTGTCACCACCTCTTCTCTACAGATGTGGTGTGGACGTGGCTTTATTTAGATCGAAATGTTCATAGACTTATAGGTGCTATATAACTCCCCTGACACCCACTGAGGCGTGCTGCAAATGGTGTCAAATATTTACCAAATGCCAGCTGATGAAGCAATGAATTAGGAGCAGGAAGGCACTCCATTCAGAACAACTAGGGGATCAGCTTCCTTGTTACCCCCCCACCCCCATTTCATAGCTGTCAGTAGTCATCTGTGATAGCTCATTTACAGCAACACAACTCTTATACATCACATAGCATGCTTATAACTCATGCGCAGTATCGACACCAGGCCTCACATTATCAAGAATAAGACAGGAAGTGCTCCTTTGGAAGTTGCAATCTATCTGATAAACTCTGGCAATTCAGGAGAACATGTGACCCACTTCTGTCAAATGCATGCATAAGGCCCCCCCCCGCCCCCCCAATGAGAGTCGTCTTTTTAAAATCAAAAATAGATGATTAAAAATAACCCGTCCATGACTCTGTTTACATTTCAGAATCCACATGTCACAGTGACACAGTGAACGCCATTTAAAGAAGAAGTCTTCTCATTGTTCTTTAAGATAATATGCTGTCATAAGTGACTGAATGCCACTGGTCTCTGGTGCAGCCCTATAGGATGTTGGAAGGGCTTCTACGCTACACAACTAACATGCCCCCTGAGCGGGAGGCCAGCCCCAACTTGCAGCACTACAATTTGGCTATTGAAAAGGCAAAGGCTGGGAAGGAGGAGGCAAGAGATCTTGTCATGGTGCCCAATGGGTTCAGAGCTTGTGGTTGGAGTGCTGGAAAGACTGCCTTGTCTCAGTGATTAATGGTGGGGAACTCATAGGCAGAAGTGAGGGAGAGGCTTATGTGGCGGCACTGTGCAACATGAATGCACAATACTATGGAGTTTGCAGTGAATCTAAAGCACGCCTTAATTTGATTACAGAGTCGTTCTCATTTTTTCCATTTGGGATCTAATCCAGGAATCTTTAATCATAAAAATACTGCTGGAGAAAAAAAAAATGTAAGTCTAATCAGCGATGAATAGCGTAAACATGGCACAAGAGCTACAGTTTTCCCACATTCATTTATTAAGCCTGTACAGTATGTGACATCTCGATTAATCAATAGAAGTATCAAAGACTTGCCGTATCATTTAATAGTTTTAACAAAAATATAACATCATTCAAAACGAACATTAATTTGCTCATTTAACACTTACTAATATTTCACACAACCTGCTATTTAGATGAAAACAAAAATCCTAATGTAACACTTAGAAAATGACAACCACTTAGCGATTGTCTGACAACATGAAGGCAATGGAAAACTCACTCAAAGTCTACGTCATGCATGCATTAACCATGCGACAATACCCCCGTAAGATTACAGAACAAAAACATGTAATTATTACTTCGTGTCTTGTGCATGCTGTGTGTATGTACAAAAAGCACAGCAAGTTTGAGGCCCTGCAGTCTTCAGTCACTGTGTTTGAGGAACACAAAAGATATCGCTGTAGTTTTCCTTTAATTAAGATGTGTTCATATGGTTTAATTAAAATGTTCCATGAATGCTGAAAGGGTGTGTTGAGGGAACTTCAACCCTGCTGATCAGACTCATCCTCCAGTCTTTCATAAGTAAGTGAAAGTAGATGTATCATATTGAGATTTTGATGAGCACAGGAGGAGTTGGCCATTATGGGGCCCTAGGGCCACTTTGAAATGCCAGCATGGTGATGACTATCTATGCCCGTAAAGGAGGCCGATGGACCATTTGCAACAGATGGAAGTATGCAGTTCAAATGGGCCAGGTCTGATGGGTGAATATACTGACCACTATTGCTGTTGCTGAAAGAGCCAAATAGAGAGGCGTGCAAGTCTGAGGAGGAGGAGGAGGAAGTTCTAACAATGTTTGCATCTGGAAAATTCAGGTGGTCTGCAAAGGAGGTTGAGCTGGAGGACAGGTTGCAGGTGGCCAACTGAGAGAAACTTGTCATCTTTCCATACTTCTGCTCCTTCTTGTACCTCATTCTGCGGTTTTGAAACCAGATCTTGACCTGACGATCAGTGAGCTGGAGCCCAGCAGCCATCTCCAGCCTCCTAGGACGACACAGGTAAGGGTTGAAGTGGAACTCCTTCTCCAGCTCCAGCAGCTGGTTGTTGGTAAAGGCTGTCCTCTCCCTCTTCACACTTTGCCTTCCTCTACCTGGTAGACCAGCTGCCATGCCACTGCTGACTGATGATGGAGGAAGCACATAAAGAAGAGAGGGTGTTAAAAGGAAAAACCACACATCTAACAGTTCTATCCTGAAATGTATAACCTGCACATGGAATACTTCAAGTGCCAGGGAGGCCCGTGTTAATCCTCAGACAATCAACCTGTGAACAAGTAAGAGCCCTCAGCTCTTCCTGCACATTCAGTCATGGTTGAGACACTATACAAGACTGGCTGTCTACTGTGTCATGTGTTCAGGGAAAGTTACCTCCCGAAGAAGCAGTCTGGGGGAAACATCTGACGCCAGTACGGCTGCCTGACAGAACACATTAATCAGAGCTGCACACAGAAGCAGACCTGTCAAATCCTCATCTCAGTCACTTAAAAGGTACCCTGGGACCACCACTGAAAATAACCACCATTAGGGATTCAATTTGACATGTATATGAGCAGTGCCAGGCTCTGTTGATAATAATGTAACATACCAGGGTTAATGGATACTTAATAGTGAGAATGAATAGTGGAAACTATATAACAATAATCTGCCGCACTGGAGGACTGCTTCCTTGTTATATGTTAGCTTGTCGACACAGCAATGTTTAACTCTTTCAAAGATTTAAAAAAAAGGGAAAAAAACAGCATGATTAGGACATTAAATTAAAAAAAAATCAAAAAGTTTTTTTCTCTTTTTTTTTTTTTAAATATATGGAGATTTTGATCTCAAAATAAACACAAGCGCCTCTATAGTCATGATGTGATAGAATTAATGAACTGATACAATCCATTTTGAGACCGTGTCAAGAGATGACAGATGCAGAGTGCTGATTTTTTCTTTTTTTTTCTTTTTTTTTGTGGATTAAAAGAAGTGTTTGTGCAGCATTTGCGCTGCAGCTTGTCTGTTTGGAACATCACTTTGCCTGCAGGACTGGAAAAACAGCCCCGTACGCTGTGAGCATGACAGTGGCATTTGGTTAACTGTTCAGTAACACCAGCGCTCATTCATTGACAAAGCAGAAAGAGCGCTCACATTAGAACAAAGTTCTCTTAAGTGTGATGAAGCAGATGACTTTGACCACTCCTGAAAAGTTACTTTGCTGTGGCTGTTCTGCTTCCAAAGAAAGATAACAAAGACGGTGAGTGTTTGAGTTACATATTCAGTCGAAAAAATAAACATTTAAAAAGAGGGAAAAACGTGTTTGTAAAGAGGCTAATGAAGCTTCTTGGGTCACAAATATTTTGAACACTCAGTGTCAGCTTTAAAGAGGCACAGATAATGAACAAAACCAGTTACCAGATTGTTCAGAGCCAGTGGTCCGTGGATTCATCCAGGGGAAAATTACTTCTGAGCGGCAGATGGTGAGTAGACTGCAGCTCCTGCTCTTGATGTCCAGCTTGCCCTTGCCATGGCAGTGAACCACGGGCTCCAGTGGGCACTCGGATTGTTCATCTGGGTTCAACCTGGAACTGACACGAGAAGAGGAGGTCATGTTTTGCTGATTAAGTTCTGCTTCTTGGCCTCCTCCTCCTCCTCCATTGTATCCCGCGCTTAATTTTGGCACCTGTCCAGAGCTCATAGCAAAACTGTTGCCATGCAGCTGCAGTGGGAGGGCAAACTGTTGGGGGTCCATGGACCCAGCTCATCAAACTGTTTCAAATAAAACCAGGAGTCCCTCAACAGCAGTAAAAGGCGAGGACGTGTGTCTATCTAATATTCGATCACAATTAACCTGAATGTAAAAAGGCACGCGGGAAAGTGCACTTTGAGTAACCATTTGGAACAATTGAATAATATTTACCAGAAGGGTGCCGTGGTCACGTGTGGCAGTCCTCCAATGACGGAGCTTTGGAGTTGGAAAGTAATCCGCCGGCAACTTGGAACCCAGAGGAAGCTTCTGCCATATTTCTTCAGACATTTCTATGAGCAGCCTGCATTTCTTTACCTAGGATATTAAAAAAATATATAATGGAATATGAAAAGACGCCAAACGACTGTGTAATCAGTGTAAGAGAAAGAGGGAGATGTGTTTAAACGGAGAGACAAACATTAGGAGAAAGGGGGGGAGACAGACAAAGCTTACACGTGCGGTGAGGAGCATTTCATTAGAAACTGGGCGCAGATTTCGTGTAATATTGTTACTCTTTTGACAGGACTCGTTTTCTCGTTTTATTTTTGAAGGAACCGCCGCTCGCAGCCACACATCCTGAACTTTTTGGTGGTAGGTTTGAACAAATACGATGCGAGGATTTTTTTTTCCTCTGCGCTACAATACGCGTCTGTGAGGTGGAATAAGAGATGGTTAATAACTGGTTATAGATCACAGCTCATTATTCTGCTGAAGCTTTTCTAGGTGTAAAATTATTAAAAAGAAATTGCGCTCCTTGTTTGCTTGTTTGTTTGTTTGTTTTTTCCCCAGTCAAACGCTATTATAAATAATGGTGCTTATTCGCGTATTTTCATTCTACTAGGGGCACTAAGTGGAGTAAATCTGTTTTAAGTCTGTAAAACGAAATCATTACGCTTATTTTGGATAACTTAGTCTGAAACGTATTTAAATACCTATTATAAATCGGCGGGCTTTTTATAAACACAGAGCGTGTGTTTATAACAGTGTAGCTTTGGCTTAATGGGATTCACTGGGAGTGGTCAAACAAAGACATGACAGTCATTGCCACACAAAGACAAAGGAGGCAATCGTCAAAGATGTTTTTTTTCTACAGGACAATTCAACGCATTTGCATTAATCAGGCATCACTGTACAGCATCGAGTCCACTGACTCCAGGAGGCAACACTCAAACACTATGGACATCTTTTGGAGGGGTTAAATTCCTCCTTCTGCACGAAGGCGTGAACCCAAACATCAGATGCTCAGTTAAAGGCTCTTGCGTGCCTATTTGTAGCCACAGTGCCAAGCATCCAAGACAACTGGGACTTAGCTATGAAGGCGTAAAACACCTAAATAAAATATGAATTTTTCAACTTCATTTTAAAACCCATAATAAATATTTTTTTTCTAGGAGAAGTTATTTGGGATAAAAGCTACATCAATTGTGGCCTAACTGAGTTATACTGTAGGGGGGAAAGAACTCATAAAACGTGTTTGTTTAATTCCAGCAATGCGCAATTTTATGCAAAACGGCCACATAACGAGAATAATGAATCTATCACAAAATTATAAATAGTGCTCCCTAAAACATGTTCTAAATGAGAAGGTTTGTGAGACTATGCTGAATATTCCAAGCCAGTATTAATCTTAGCTGAACCATGTTTTGGATGTAAGCTCCTTCTGGTGTTTCAGTACAAAGCTGCAAAGCTGTCGAGAAAACCCTCTTTAGATGTCTCAGAGGTGATGGATTATGCACTCAGGGTTTGCGTGGAAAGAGAGGAGCCTTCCTCCTTCTCCGTTTCACCCCTGCTGCCACTATCACCGACGTTTTACCTGAACCTTTAGAGTGGTGTCACATCCTGAGATTTTTTATTTTTATTTTCTTTTATTAGTTGAATTTATTTTTACGTAATGAAATATTTTATATGAAATCAAGGACATGAAACAACTGCTGCCATAGCACAATGCTTACAACATTAATATCATTTCAATTTGACTGCTGAGGCATTAAAAATGTTTGTTGACACTAAAAACTACAGTGTTGATATTTCTTTTCCCCCTTTTGAATTGTAGCCAGTTAAATAAAGACTGTGGAAAGGTTTAGTACTTAAATTTAAATTGGCTAAAGGTTAAATTTGTCATTTCCACTGTGAGGTAAATGTGGGCCAGCAAAACTAAATAAACTGATAAAACCCTGACATATGTTTGCATTTTCGTCTCACGCATAAATAAATCTATTATTAGTAGTAAAAGCAGCATTAGTGTTATTATCAGTTGAATAAGGCAGTGTACATCAGGACTGACTGAAAGTGGGGAAAGTAATTAAATTCGTTTTGTTTTCCTTACCTCACACCCTTGAACATACTCTCTGAATTGGAGATAGAATCTATGATATACTAGCTCAGCAAGACCATAATTTAGCTCCTCCGCGCCTCCACCACAATTCTCCGTGAACTCTGTTTGAACCGCCTCAGTGGCAATAAATCATTTTTCTCTCTCACACAAAAGCGCGCCGGTCGCTCTGGGTGTCAACCCTTTTACAATTCCTCCTTACCTTCTCTGCTCTCTCGCCTGCTGACACAAACAACCAAGGAAATTGTCTATAAACTTTTATTTTTCACAACAATAACGCAGACAGAAAAGGGTACTGCAGAATATCCGCAGCTGCGCACAAACGGTGAAATTCGGCAGATGCAACACAATTACGTTTTTCTTTTCTGTTGTCTTTCCCCATGATACACACACACACACACACACACACACACACACACACACACACACACACACACACACACACACATATATATATTTTCCTTATATGTATATATTCTTACATATAAGGAAAAAAAATCTATAAATAGCTCACAAAGCACAAAGAAAGCACGGATCAGTTAATGTATTTCCAGGGGACAGAGCTCCGCAGATAAAGGGAGACTGAGAGAGAGCTGGGGAGAAGACGTTAATGGGCAGAGGATGCTGTCGGTTAAAACGGTGCATACAAATGGCGCTGTCTTGGCAGAGCAAGGAGAAGATTTATGGGCCCGGTGCCCTATATTGCTGTAAACAATGCAGAGTGAAATGAAAAGACTAGAGTTTGCAGACTGCACTTCATAAGTGAGTAAAAGACAGACAATGACAATTTCCCAAACTAGTCCCGACTTTCCTATAAGCGTGTGCATTAACATGAAGTATTAATTTGGGCCTAACTCTGATGTAAATCGTGGCGAGTCTGGAGAATAGAGACAAACCTCAGTACCGTACTGAAAAGGTGCAATTTAAAAGTGCAATAATTAAAATAACACTCAAGATATTTTTGCTTGTTTTTGAGTGTTTAGGCCTATCTATCTATCTATCTATCTATCTATCTATCTATCTATCTATCTATCTATCTATCTATCTATCTATCTATCTATCTATCTATCTATCTATCTATGTGTGTGAGAGTGTTCAAATAATGAAAATAATCCGTATAATAATCTGTACACTGAATGCACGCTCAATTGTAAGTTAACAGCTGATTTGTTTCTCAGGTGATCATAAACGTATACACAGAACAACCTAAAGGGGAAAACCTGAACCGTTAACCCCTCCAGTAAGAAGATCAGGTGGCTTTGAGCTGTGGGGTAAATTTTACTGACATTGTTTGGATCCAGTTGTTAGCTTAGAAGGAAGTGTGCAAAAGTTGTCCTAAGTAATCATCTTTATCATTTGATTAACAATTTCTACCCAAATGGGGTCTCTTCCAACAAGATCACTCACCCATCCACTGGGCACAAGGTCACTGAATGGTTTAGTGGGTATGAGAATGGTCTGACTCAAACTTTATCATATCAGAGCTCAAATCATCTGAAGACATATGGGAGATTTTAGTGACCTCCACCATCATCCTCAAATCAAAAACTGGGCTTATCTTTCCAGCAGAGTTCAGGAGAATTGAAGGATCGATGCCAAGTTGCATAGAATCTGTTCCGGCGACTAGTACCTTACTAAGACATTTTATGTTGTTGTTTTTTTCCTTTAATTGATAAATATACATACACGCGGTATTTATTTGTTTACTTATTGTATAGTTTATTTTAAAGTCCTGCATCTTAGATAACGGAGGTGATATGACCCTTCGCGTTACCATCCAATCAAATACAGTACACACAAAGTTAAACTGCAGCAGCAGCAGCTGTCAAAGTTCTGCATGATATGCAACTGGTGGTCACGCAAATACACCGGATAATCATTTTCAGAGAACAAATCAAATAAAAACCGCATCTCGCTAAACTTCTGCATAATCGTGGATCTATAGTCTCAGGATCGCATATTCAGAACACTTTTGCTAATGAAAAGCGAATAACATAATCATAACTCAATCTAGCGACTGTCTGGGCCCCCTTGTGACACCTCTAACGGAAGAAAATGACTGTAATTTCGAAGGTCCTCAACGATGCAGCAAATGGGCTAATTAAATATTTCTCAGCGAGGCGTTATGATGACAGAAAGTATACTCGTAAGTTTATCCAGGCCATCATTTCCTGTGCGACGTCAACTCTACAGTGGGACACCAGTCCAAGCTGCTTCGTCGTCTCCTGCTTGACACTAAATCATTTTTAACATTTCTGATGGCTTTTTAAAATCTAGTTTTATGTAAATTAATCAAACTCTACCTCCACCACGCATGCGCGCACACACCAGGCCGACGCATTTGCTCCCTTGAGTGAACGGATAGGAGAGAGATTTAGGGATTTATGACACACCCACTGCTGGTCAATGTGAGACAGCCTCTCTATCCCTGGAAAATAGCAGCATGACCCCTGTTTCAACTCTCAGCCTTTATGCAGCTGCCATGGCTGCCGTTTAAACACACTACAGGATAACAATGCACCGGCCCCGGACCTTTTATGACAAACCAAAGTGACTGAAGAAGACACTCACCTGGGACGAGTTTGAAACAGTTTGCACTTAACCCGGCACAGACAACAAAAGCAGGCAATCAAGCGCGCAAGCGTCACAACACAGGCGCTTCCGTGTTTCATATTTGGTTTTGTTCAAACATTTCGATTGGTGTTTGTGTGCAAAGTTCTTCTTTTTTTTCATGCATATATCTTCACAGAGAAAGTCCTCGCCCGAGGTGCTCGTAAAGCACATGCAGCCTGCAGCAGTGCAGTGTGAGCTGAAATTCATGTGTGATTCAACAGTCTCAAGTCAGAGACGAAACCAGTTAGCTGAGTAAAGACTGAGGAATTTATACACTCAACTTCAAACAAACAAAATGCACCAGATCCCTGAAAGGCGGCGAGTTTAAGAATAACTCATCTCAAATTCATTCTTCAGATTCAGCCCCGGGGGGCGGGGCAAAATAATAAAGGTAAAAAAGATCTACCATGACCTAAAAAGCTGAATGGAGTGAAACCAAAAATACTTCATTCTAAACTTAAAGAATTAAACTGCTATCCATCCGTGTAGCTCTTGTCACAGGTAAGGCCGTATCACTTTGAAGTTTCTAGAGAATTATTTAGTGAGTTTCGCTCGTTCTTGGATCACGTGAGAAGAGAAAATATTTGTGTACACGATGATTCATTTTCTGTCGTTAAATTTAATGCAGTTAAACATTTGTGTTGCTATGAGGAAAAGTTTCCATTGTGTATTAGAACAAAGTTTAAAAAAACAAAACAAAAAGCAGCAGAGTGACACTGATTTATGACTGACTGGCCTTTTGTTTGAATAGCAATAATATTAAACCGCACGTTTTGTTTATTCCCATAATAAATCAGACAACGCCTAATACAGGTGTATTAGTTAAATCCCTGGCAACGCTAAGTCAAATTGTGCCTCATACACTCTCATTCCATTTAACGCAAATCTTCAGTTACAAGAGCTCAAACAAAGAGGGACATGTCGTCATTGTTCGAAGTGTAATTCGAGCTGCACCTGTACAGACACGGTGAGGAGGATGAATTATCACATAAACAACTGACAGACGGTGAGATTATTTTGGCTTTCAGTGTCAACTGTTTATCCTGGAAGACGGGCTGTTGAATATTTTTCCATCAACGTTGAATATTTGGATCAAAGCGCTCCAACACGCTGAAATCTGCCTGCAAAACCGGATAAGAGTTTCCGAATGTCATTTAAAAAAGCGGGTAGTGATTTGCCCCATCAATAATATCTCAAGGGTTGACATCATCGCTTATATTTTCGAGCATCTTCTACTTCTAACAAAACTTAATTAGTAATCTGTTCTGAAGTTCGCTCTCCTCTGTGTCAGGGGGAAAAAATGCATGTGGCTAAAAATACAAGTTTGGGGAAGTGCCGAGCCTCCTCGGGAAGTTTGAAGGTTTTTGAAGGTCTTTGTCCATAAACTAATCAAAATGACCAACTGTCCCAGTACTGTCAGAAACATCTATAATTGGCAGCTCACTTCTGAATGTAAGTGCTGACCGGAGACCAGCTATTCTCTTAAGCCACACAGGAGTCATGTGACTGCATCAGGAGACGCTCTTTTTAATGCTCCTGTTTGGGTGTGGGGTCTTCAGGGAACTAAAAAGGTCGTTTTGTTTACATCTTATTTATAATTACAATTTAAAAAATAACATTTTAAATACGTACACAAAACATTTCTTCCTTTCCTTCTTTTCTCAGACAGACTTAAAAAAATATGTTGTAAATTTAAATATGTATGTTGCCCCTCCATTAACTGCAGTAAAGGTTACCACTAAACTTTGCCACTTTGATTTGGAAACGACTTCACGGGAGATCGAAAGATTGTTAACTTAAAGAAGAAGGTGTCTGTGTGGAAATCCTGCAGTTCTGCTGGGTGCAAGGAAGAGAACTGTCCGAGAGTTCAGCCCTGTCCAGTGTCGCCCCCCCCAAAAACAAAAAATAACAAAAGAAGAAACACATTGAGTGATCCCCCGCAGCAGGCCTCTCTATCGGCACAACGCAGAAAAGAAAGCCGAGGCTGAAGGGGACCAGCGAGGGCGCACACAGAAGGTACACGTATAGAGAGTGAGTTGGGTCACAGGGTTGGAGAGGTCGGCCATCCAGACTGAAATGAGCCTAATGGGACAGAAAATGTGTCCCCGAGGTGAACTCGGCCTTCTACCATTTCGCCCCCAAACTTCAATAAAGTACCTTTTCAGCTTCGCGACATGGAGGCGACAGGGCCTAGAAAGAGGCTGGAGGGATGCTGGGACTGTGGCGAGCACATTAATTTCTCTAATCTGTCCAGCAACATAAAGGCTTCTGGATTCATTTTTCAGCGCCGTCTCACCACTATTCTACTGCCTATCCAAAGCCCTGTCCAAAAAGTAGGTTTGAACCTCTTTGGTCCAGCTTAAAGTCCAACTTAACTTTCACATTTGTGGGAAAAGCAGTCAAATAAAAAGAAAAGTGGCAGAGGATGCGACCCCGTCTACATAATATTTGATAAGATCAAAACTGGTTGTTGTCAGAGCTGTTTTCCAGAACAGAACACAAAGCTCTATGGGGAAAGATTGATGATGGAAAATACCTCATCCTTTTGTGCTCTTTTGCCTCCCACTACGCGAGGCATTTTATAAGGCCTATTCATGTCACAATTTCAATAATCTATCAAATTCTTGCGCGTCTTTGGACTCAAGCCATTTTTAAACCGAAATCCTTCTTCCCAAAATTGTTCCAAAAAAAAAAAAAAATGGGGGGAAGAATGGGAGACAAAATGAAAGCACTTCAGGCTCTTCAGTTGATGATTCAGTTAAAAAGACTTTCTTCAAATCATTGCATCAGTCCAGCAGGTTTTCAGCAGCAAAGAGTCCTGCAGTGAGTTGGTCCCCCTGCCAGATGAAAGTCGCACGATGACGTTGCACAGAGACGCCTTAGCGCCGTTTTTGAAGTTTCTACAGTCTCGCGAGCTGCAGCATACTACGGAGGCAAACTGCCCACTGGGGAGTCAGCAGACAAATGAGCCAAAGTGTTTATACAAGCAAGAGTCAAAGAGTGAACAGACAAGAAAACAACAGCATTCCTTTTTGTGGAGAGGGCAGCGCTTTAGATCAATTTAAAAAAAAAAAAAAAGGTTTAAAAAACAAAAACAAAGGTAAGCTAGTGTACGTCATCAGCATCTTCACTCAGATATTTAACGAAGACCACACGACGCATTATACTGAATCTATCGGCAGATCACGACTTTATTTTTTTTTTATTCATTTCACATTTGAAAACCCAGTCGCATGGCGCAGAGGACTATAGAAAAGCAGGGCAACCACTATTGTTACAAAATGAATAATTTCACAACAATCTAAAATCTCTAACACATTGCAAATGTACTCTAAATTAAACGCATGCATCTTTGTGTTCAAGTCAGGACGAAGGAAGCGAGTAGCTTCTTTTGTGGCAGAGGCAGTGCAGCGTGGACTGGAGGGCCTCAGTGGCTTGTCTAATTGAATGCCCTTCAGACTGATGAGGTTGCACGTATACTGCACAGCGCAAACTATTTCATTTTCATATTTTAGAAATAACTTCAATCCATTATGAGTGAAGCTTTAACACACACACACACTCTCACACACACACACACACACACTCAGTGTCTGTACACATTGCAAATATAAACACGCAAAAAAGGGAGCTGCAGGATTGACAAACACAGTTTAAAAACACAGTGATTTTTGTTTCCCTCGTGAAATGTCCAGTATTCACACATCTGTACACTTTTAAGGAGCTTCTCCAATTTGCAACAGTAGACCTCACCTTACCTAAAATGAACTTGGAACAAACGTATTTAAAACTAGTAGACACTCACTGTTTTATTGACCAATATGATTAGCACAAGTACACTAAACTCCGTTTATTGCATTTCACAATAATCTGCTTTGAACGGTCTAAAACACAACATCAACACCACAAAACTAAATTGCAAAAAATGAAAAAGAAAAAGAAAAATCCTGTTTCTGAAATACACGAGGTAATTCACACATTGTTATTCTCCTAAACATACAAGTTCAAGATCAATGGTGTGTTCCAGCTTTCTTTTTTTATATACCAAAAATAACTATTATTATAGTGATTTCCTTCCAGTGTTGTTTGAAATAAATAGATTGTGCATTTCACCTTGGGCAGCAGGGCAAAAGAATGGCCCACAATAACATTTTGATAAAATGTATATTTTTTTCTACTTTTTCATCCTTCATTCAAAACATTTTTTAATAAAAAACATCATTTTAATTGAACTTCAAATAAATTAAACCCTGTGTCACGTAAAAATAATTCATCGGTATTCGCAGTAATCCATGCTATATAACATGCATTTTATATAACTTTGGACTTAAAGGAAACCGCACAAGATAGCTACGAAAACAAAATATATAAGTGTTCTATAAATAACCAGTTCTTATTCTACCCCCAGTAATGGTTCGTGGTTTTATAACCTGGTAATATCCTCGCCATGCTGAGCTCCGGTAAGTTCGTCGGGGGCCCCGGTGTTAGTGGCCGAGGCAGCGGCAACAGCGCCGGCTGCTGAGCTTGTGTTGGACCCGGAGGAAGAGGAGGAGGATCTCACTTTGGTGTTCGGGAGCCTGTGATCCTTTTTCCATTTCATCCTGCGGTTTTGAAACCAGATTTTAATCTGCCGCTCGGAGAGAACCAGGGTGTGTGCGATCTCGATGCGCCTCCGCCGAGTTAAATATCGGTTATAGTGGAATTCCTTCTCCAATTCTAAGACTTGCTGCCGGGTGTATGCTGTCCTAGACCGCTTGGGCTCCGTCCCATTGTAACCAGAGTTCACTGGAAGAAGGAGAAGAGGAGAGAAAGGGAGACAGAGAACGGAGGAAAGGAGGGGTAAACAAGAATGGCCTCAACTGAGATATGGCTGGAAAGATTTATTGGTTATGAATGTTTAGCTGTTTGAGAAATTTAAATGGGAAGTTAAGAACTTCTCAGCGTAATGAGAGGACACTCACATCCAACTATGAGCTAAATTATTAATGCAAGATTACAAAGCTCAGATTTTTTTTCTTATTCATTTCTCCCCCTCTCTCCATCGCGCAATACATAACAGCAGAAGCCACATGGTGATACGGCTGCCCTGAGTATACCTCGGCTATAAAATTTATGGTGGGTGTAATTACCAATGCCGAGTCGTAAATCCGCCTCAATTGTGCCATTTCAAAGGCTTCCCTGCTATCGGAGCAGGGGCTGGCAACGAGATGGGAGTCAGAGGGACTGATAAAGGGAGGGAAGGGGAGAGAGGAGCATGAGGAGTGCAGGGAACATAAACACACAAGTTGCCTACCAGTGCTGACGTGAATTTTCTTCATCCATGGGTACACCACAGGCTGTTTGGAGGAGGCTGTGCTGTTTGGATGCTCCGGGGTAGCTTGGTTGCAGGCGGAGGTTGCGGCCGGTGGGGTGGCGGGGGACATGGACAACTGTGGGGTTTCACATGAAGCAGGTTGCCCTTTCCCTGTCAGTAGATGCGCAGAATGGGGTATTCCATGTCCCCTTGGCGTGTCAGGTTCAGGGATGCTTGCACAGTTAAACTGGCGCTCTTGGTAGCTCGCCCGCGGAGGATATAACTCCTGATGGTGATGCTGGTAGCCAGTGTCCCTTGCGCGGCTGTAATATTCTGGACTATGCTCGGGGATGTAGTTATTTTGCGAATATTCCTCGCATGGAGGAAATTTCGGATCAATGTAGTTAGACTCCATCAAATACGAGCTCATGATCATTAATTTCTGGAGTGGAAAATAATTTTTCTAGCTTTGTCGTTTTTCTGCTCCATAAAGCCCTCCTACTTGCGAGCAGCCCTGTAAAGTTACTTTTACCACGTGACCCAATGGCCCAATAGCAGGGTAAGAGGTAGTTCCCGGATAAGGAACCAGAGGTATTTAGCATACCTACAGTCGCCATTGTGGGCACAAATCTTTCTCTCTCGCTCTCTCTCTCTCTTTCTCTCTTTCTCTCTCTCTCTCTCTGGCTGCGTTACCAAGGCAATTGATCTTGGGGACAAAACTAGTAGCTAGTTGCTGACCAAGGAAAAAATATAACAGGCAAATACAGTGGTCTCAATTATTCAAAGGGACAAGGCTGGGGTACAACAACAAACCATTGCGTTAGTTATAACACCTGATTAACAAAGACTGTCTCTGACAACAAAGCTTCAGCTGTGACACAACCCAGGGTCTCTTCACAAGACTAAGAATAAAGTCTGGATTGCTTTCTTTCTTTCTTTCTTTCTTTCTTCCTTTCTTTCTTTCTTTCTTTCTTTCTTTCTTTCTTTCCTATAAAGCATTTCAGCAGTAACACAGGTAGGACATCGTGATTATGAATGTCAGTGGAGAGGTGGAGAGGTGAATGCTCTCCAGCTTTGGAGGAGATGAAGACTGATCATTTGTGGTGCTGGACAGAAGTGGACAGAGAGAAACAATCTGCCTCAGTGGCAGGTTCTTCAACAATGAGAAATTTAGGTCTATCTATTTCGAATCCATATTAATTTCTTTAAGACTACACATTTGTATGGATTCTTTCAGCTTTTAAATGAAAATTGGTAAGAATAATCAGAATCAGAATGCTTTATTAATCCCTGTGGAAATTATGTGGCCACAGTAGCTCCAAGACAGTAACTAACTAAACTAAATTAAATAATACAGTATATTACAAAATATAACAAAAATGATTTAAAAGATACAAATGGTTCCGTTATGAATATCCCAGTATAAGCATTAAGACTGGGACTGAATTACAGAAGGATTCTGTATCTCAGGTTGCTGCTTTAAAGTCACAGTAGCCAAAATCTGTTGGAACAAAAGCTGCATGTTTCACATATATGTCTTCAGGTGGAGAGTAATAATAATAATAATAGCTTTACAACATAAAAGATTTTAAGAGTGCATCCATGGTGCTTCTATTCTGTCCTACAGACAAGACAAAGCTAAACTCTTTTAATCTCTAACCTTTGCTTCCATAAGGCACAACACAACAAAGCAACCATAGAAAACAAAACATTGCATAAATCCAAATTTGAATATAAACCCTGACGTGCCACAGACGAAAATGTCATAGACACAACAAAACTGCAACACAAATGTGGGCTAAGCAGGCGTCAAACATCCAACTGATCAAACTTACATAATATCACTAATATGATGTCACAGATCAGGGGCACACAACCCTGCAGAGAAGCATTCACCAGGAGCTCACAAACCAGCCAGCAGTGAAACTACATCACTATTATGTCACAGAGCAGAGGGTGTAATGAGCTGCTGATTTAACTGCAGGACCAGTATTGTGTCACTGTGAAGTTGCTGCAGACAAGAGAGTCTGCTGTACACACTCTAGACTAAGTGAACATCTGTCCCAAATGCAGGATAGCAATTCACGACACGTGTAAATAGAAATCAGCCACCAGTCCTTGTGATCTTGAGTGGTGCTAATTCCCTCTTCTTCTGACTGCAGTTTTACAGCTTGAAAAAGCCCTTATCTGTTACCTGGTGCACATGTTTCTGAGCTTTGTAATGGCCCAAATAAAAGCGCAGGAACAATCAATGAACAGCATCTATGTGAGGAAAAACAACACTGTTAGGCAGATGAGATGGGCCATTGAAACTACAAGAAGTGCTGAAGAAGAATTGCAGAATGCAACATCCCGATGATTAATAGACAAACATGGTTACACGATGCTTCAAACTAGAATTTAAACCGTAAAATACAAACACTGAAAGTATTACAACATTTTCTTTTGTTCAGCAGCCTTTGGGAAAATCCACCCTGAAAATGTTGCATGTTAACGCTGGCTGAAGCACTGACCATGAGCCAAGGCGTACAGCACTGGTGGTCTGTTGTTTTATTGTAAACTGACACTGCCTGGGTGTATAAACTTGTCATGTGCTGGAAGCTTCCCATTGTTTTCTCAGAGTCAGCTGTAGGCAGACAGAGTGAAGTTAACCTCCCTATCACCTCGACACCCCCATGTTTCACATATATGTCTTCAGGTGGAGAGTAATAATAATAATAATAATAATAATAATAATAATAATAATAATAATAATAATAATAATAATAATAATAATACAATGATATATTTCCATTCAAACCATCACATTACAAGTTAAGCATCTATTTTCACAGCAGCAGTTAAATAATACGGTTAAAAACGACGTGAAATTGCTTATCATAATTCCGGCTGTACTGTTTGTAAAGAATGCGCACGACATTTCTATTACCCCTAGTGAGGATGTTAGAGGCGTTTTATAGAGCAATAAAAGCCGTAAATCAGTCACTTTTAAACGACCCCTGGTTCCTAACGTGTTTTACAGGGTCTGACACAGTAGTAGCCGCACACTGCACGTTCTCTGTGGCCTACCTACACAATCTGTGGCTGTCTGAGCTATGAATACACTTTGTGACAGCGTTATTGCTCTGCCAGAGCCCGTGGATGGGGTGGATGCAGGCTGTATGTATCATCGTTGATGCTTATGTATATGCAAAAGCAGGAAGAAAAAATGCCAGAGAGACGTGAAGGGAAGCAGATGCAGAACAATTCATCGACTGGCGTGGTATTTCAGTTGCCCATGTATTCCTGTAGAGACGTATTTGCGACTGCTTGTACTTCACACAAATTCGGTTCTACAGGGTATACATGTAGACAACTAATGTGTTTTAGGTTAGACACTGTAAAAGGTCATCTGCCGGGCAAATATCTGTGGCGAGCAGGTTATCGTGCATTTCACAGTCGTGTCACGAGAAGCATCAGAGTGGAAATACCACAGAAAGCGTGCGTCAAAGCGGATTCTGTTTATCAGGATTCAAGAAGCAAAGCTACAAACAACCCCACTCCTGCTGTGGATACGTCTACAAGCAAGGGAAACACACATTTTACGTCCTTTCTCTAAAAATAAAATATCCGTGTGACACACACACACACACACACACACACACACACACACACACACACACACACAGCATAAAGACGCCGTACGCAGAGAACAGAAAGGGTCTCTTTTCTCAACATTCAGCCTCTGCCTTTGAGGTGCCTCCTATATGAATATTCAGCTACAAACACGGAGGATACAAAGGGACGGCGTGACAGCACACATGAAAAATAAGTTTCCATTGTTCCCAACCATTTCTTCTGCTTGCTATTACCATACTGACCGCTCGGTAACCTTTCTTGCTGCCACTCTGGAAGCTAATGAGAAAAGCCTCGGATGAAAAATGCAATATCAGACATGTGACCTGTTTCGGGGTTATTAAAAACAGCAAACATGCTCAGATTGTGAATCAATGGAATTGATTAGAGCGGTGATGCACAGGGTGCTTCAAACACTGTCAAAAAACATCTCAATCTACATATTTCTCTGCCAGCATCCCGCGCATCAATTTGATTTTTTAAAATTGATTAACAAAGCCTCCTGCCCCAACACACAGTGGACTCCCGAGAAGTGGTAACAAAAAAATCTAACTCATATTCATTTGGATTTTTTCATATTCTCATCAAAAGACATGCTGTTTGTCGTGCACACAACCAGTGTGAAAGGAGCTACATACACACCACCTACTCCCTCTCGCCCCATGCGCTCTGGAGGACGCATTTTAATATTAGTTAGACAGCCTGACCCGCGTTTCACCCCTCGCGTTTGACTGGTTCCAATAGTTCACTGCCAAGGATTATTGATGGAGAGACAGCAATGAATTCTTTCTCCCCACAAATGGCTTTCAGATCGTGCACCTAGTTCAATAACTAGTTATAATGTAGAAGTACAAAAAATGAGGCCCTCAGGCAGACTAATTTGATGTTTCATTTGTTCATTTGAGAAATTAAGCTTTCCCTTTTCCTCCCCTGCAAAATAACAGCCTTACAAGCGTGTTCACACATGTACATATGTAAACAAAATAAATCTGTGCAAAACTATGTGGAGGTCGTTCTGTCCACGCAGTGCTGCTCTTTTTCTTTTTTCTTTTTTTTTTAATTTGGTGGCCGAGCACCTGACCTGGATGCAGACAGTGCAGCAATATTGTGCTCCCTGATGAAAACGGTTACGATGCGCTTTTAATCAAACTCTTAACCTAATAGCCTTTCCACGTTTACTCTCCCCAGGTGTAATAACGTTAAGCTGTATCGTCCAGTTAAAATAAAAAGTTTTAATGAAGTGCAGACAGACTGGAGACTAGTTGGATATGAATGCTCTTTAAAAAGCAGCAGCCAAGGGAGCAGAGGCGGTTTCAGAAACGAGATTCCTCCTATAAACAGTTGGTTGGTTTCGAAGCAATGATGTGGTTCATAAGACTCACTGCGCAGTTAAATCCGGCTAACTGGCACTGCAAGAAGTTGAGAGCATAGGATGGTAATTCCATCTTAAGTTGGAGTTTTTGTTTAGGCGTCCAATGTTTGAAATCGTAAGAAACGAGACGCCAGAGTGTCTGAATAAATTAAGTGGAAGTGCAGATATTAAGGTGGTTGCTGTCTTTGAAAAAGCAACTCCGCCAGACAAGCTTTACTCTCAAATAAAGGTAGGCAGATAAGCGTGGGGCAATGCGTAACACTTACTATTAAATCCGCAGTCTCGCTCACTTTGGCTCGTTGAAATGCCTGAAAAATAGAGAGAAAGAACGAAAAGAATTAAAAGGGTAATCATGACAAAATGGTTCATAAAGGTCCATAAAAAATTTCCTCATTAAGTGACAAAATGAATTTTTGCACCCAAACTGCAAAAATAAAATTCTCGAGGAAGAAATTAGCTTTATAATTTGTTCAATTAATATTTTATTTTTAAAACATGTATTAGACCCCCCCCCGCCCCACCCAGAAAAAAAGAATATAAAGAAAATGTTACTCAGTGTTTTCTAAATTAACGAAGCAGCCTATTTGTCACGGATATCACGCATTTGAGGATGGCATAAACATATGCGGTGTCCGTACCATATTTCCGGTTTTTGCTCCAATTCTAAAAAGCCACTATATAATCTAAAAATAAATCAAAATATATAAATTGGCCACATACAAATATGAAAAGGAGATTATATAATACAATCGAAAGCCACAAATGTATTTCATTATAAGGATTTCCTTCGTGTTTCCTACAGTAAATCACTCAAAGTTCAAATACAGAAAGAAACTGTTTGCATGTGTTTCCTTTTCTCCTAATGACCCGTCAGTCCGTCCCTTTGCCTCTCATATCCTCTGCTATCTACTTAAGCGAGGCTGTCCTAGAAAAGCTCTGACATGTCTGGCTGCTGCAGAACTGGGACCGAGGGCGAAAATTTAGGACGGGTCATTTTCAGACAGTAAAAGTAAATTTACAACCATTTTGGTATTTCCTTGGGCAAATTTTCTAAGAATAGAAATCCCTGGACTTCCAGAGCCCTGTGGAATTATGGCGGAGAGTCAATAATAATTCAAAAAAACAAAAACAACTAGTTTGTCTTCACATTGTAAATAAATTCTTGCTGAGTTAAAAAAAAAAAACAACAACAACAAACCGATGTAATAGGACTTTATGGTTTTTATTTGGGCTCAGACAAAAGGATGTTTGTGTTCACCCGGAAATGACCTCCGAGGTTTGAATGATGACAATGTCAGCTCCACAGGTCAAAGAAAGGAATACGACAGCTCAGAACATGGCAGTGAAAACGGATGTTTGTGCCGTTTCACTTTTATTGTGATGCTATAAGAGTGTTTTTGGAAAGGTCTGTCCTAGTTTTAGTGAGGTCAAACCAGGCCTTTAATTCAAAGTGACTAAAAAGCACTGAGAATAAAATTATTTCGATTGTAATAAGCGCCCTGTAGCCCCATTAATGTGGCAAAACACACGTTAATATTTGTTTCTAATTTATTGTAAAAGAAAAAATATATTTACTCGTCATTTCTGCAGGAAAACAAATATTTTCCTTTTGTTTTGTTTCATTTTAGTGCGAGAGTTATGGGAGTTAATGGGATATGACAAATGTCTGTATTACGTAAAAAAGCAACGAAATTGCTTTTGAAAAAAGGGGGAAATAAAAAATAATAATGAGAAGAAAGAGGAACTAACAACGCCCTGACTTGGACACGTTGCCCCCGCAGTGTGTCACTCACACAGCAGCGTGTTATACAGTGCCCCCTATTGAAAGTGTATAATTTTTCCCCTGCACACCTGAAAGCAAACCAGGACAGACTTTACGTATTCCACATACAGAAAATATTAAAAATAGGTTTGTAAAGCCAGGCTGGAGAGATGCGGTAAGTGGTCAGCCTTCAGTGCATTTGTGCACAACCTAAAGCCTCGAAACTCTGAGCTGACTCAAATACTTTGTTTTTGTGATTTTTAATTCCCACAGTATGCAGCATTTACGGCCTGTAAACCCCTGCTTCACCTTGTGCCTGACAGCATAGCTGGACACACCCAAAAAGTCTTACTGTTAGATTCATCCATTCGCAGTTTCACATATTGAAGAAAGAGCAGCTTTTCTGAGCTGAACTACTTTCTAGGACGTTTTTAAAATAATGTAGCCTAAAGAAAAGCAGCAACTCGTTTAGGTTATACGATCACATAGTTTTAAGACTGATAACACATTTCTGCAAAACATGCACGTGCACGCCTCGAGCTAACGCTAGTGCTGCCTTTCGTAATATTTCAGTTTGGATAATGGCATATTTGAACTGCAAAAACGCCTTTGACTCAAGCCTGTTCCTTTGGCCCAGACATGACCCTAAAACAATATGAACACCGGCTGATGAGTGCAAACAGGAACTTCGAGTCATGGTAGTCAGGTGGTTTTGCATTAATAAGCCTCTTTTTGTGGACTAGTGCATTCTTTTAACCATCAGAGCCACTTTTTAGCACAACACAGAACAAATGTCACAAAATATGCTTCAAAACGCTGCGTGTATTTTCAAAAAAGCGCCTTTTCTTCCATCCAAGCGTCTGAAACCACGGCGCTTTTATTTAGAATTTCTGAATGTCACATGGAGGTAAGAGTACGAGGGGGGTGTTGGAAATGAGAGGGAGAGAGAGGGTGTGGTGGTTAGTGAGACGGGACGCCAGATTATTTTTGATAGTTCTGAACTTT